AAGAATGATGAAAGGTTATAAAAATAAAAACATATAAGAGATGAAGTGACATCATTTAACCCAAAAAAAAAAAAAAAAATTGGTAAAATTACAAAATAAAAATTCTTCATTTCCTCTCACTTTTGGAGAAAGGACACGATGGATCACGTGGTCACGAGGGTAGGAGCTCCCATTCAATTAAAATAGTCATATATGTACATAAAAGCGAGTCAGAATATACTAAACTAGTACATACTCATTGGATGACATGGTTCGCCCAATTCACTTAATAGTTTTTTTCAAAACCACCGTATGGCCAATTTTATATTTTAATTTCTTTATGGTGATGTGTTATTTTAGAAAGAAACTTCTATTATATGGTCTCGGGATCATTGTTTTTGAGTCGATCACTACTTCGTAGAAGCATTATCTAATGACCGAATTTGTAGAGCGTCTAACTCCTTAAGTAAGTGTGCTCGTGTTCAAATCTCGAATCCATCTAGTTTACCAAGAAAAATAATCAAAATCAATAACTTATAATACAGTGTTTGTTTGGAGGGAGGGATTGAGGAGGGATGAATGAGAGGGTGGATAAAACAATCATTTCATGTTTGGTTGGAGGGAAGGGAAAAGAGGGAGGAAGCAAGGAGGGATGCTTCATCTCTCCTTTCTTTGTATTTTTCTATTCGCCGAAAATTGAGAGGAAGAGGAGAAAAAAAGAAGTAACAATTAACAAAAATATGTATTTTTCATTTCTAACCTTCCTATAAACTTGGAATAAATATAGAATTTTTATAATTTTAAATAATGAGGGTATATTGGTAAAAAAAAAATATAAAAACCCTCTTTCCCTTCCTTCCAACTAAACAAAAATAATGTATCACCTCATCCATCATTTCTACTATCCATTCCATCCAACCAAACCAAATTTGAAGGAGACATCTTTCCTTCCCTAGAGATGCCTCATCCATCCCTTCTCCTCTCCCTTTCATCAATTTTTCCATCCCTCCAACCAAACGGAGTAACTTATAATTTCTTAGGTTTCGTTTGGTTAGATAGAAATAGCAAGAAAGGAAAAGAAATGGAAAATAAAAAGAAAAGTGAAGTGAATGAAAAGAAAAGTGATTTTCTAGTATGTATTTAGTTAGGATGAAAATTTATTCAAGAAAATTGTAGGAAAATATCATATTATAGTTTGGATACCTAAATTACCCTTATTTTATAAAATAATAAACAATCAGTAATAAAATATATTTAAAAAATAATAAATTTTTTAATTAATTTAGACCTTTTGAATTACTATTATTTATAAAAACAACTAAGAATGGAAGTCAAGTTAATTAAAAATTTATCAATGACAAAGTTGTTAGTGGACTCTAATTTTTTGAAACCTAGTAAAAAATTATTATAGTTTCCAAATATAAAATAAGTTGTTGGGTAAAATAATATTACTGAAGTTGTTAGGTAAAATAGGAATACTAAATAAAAAGACATGCTTTCACGGGAAAATAAAATTTCTCCGTGTTTTGTGAAGGAAACATTTTGGAGAAAATAAAGGGTTACAAGAATTCTAATTTTTTTAGAACTTTTCCTTTTTTATCTAACCAAACTATAAAAAAGTTTTAAAATTTTCTATTTCCTTTCTTTTTCTGTTGATTATATCTAACCAAACGAAGTTATAGAGTTTGACATGCAAATAACTGTGTCATTTTTATTATTTTTTATTTATTTATTAGTCAACTAGTAATTGATCAAAACCAATAGTAATGATTTCTCGACTTTCACATTAATAATATAAATCTAATTTTATACCTCCTGTCCAAGGAGAGGCTGGGGTAAATATAAATCTAATTTAATACCACCTGTCCCACGAGGAGCTGGGGTAAAGATTTCAAAAAGTGGCTTTATATCTCACCAAAAAGTGGGGCAAGTGAGAAAAAGTTTTTCAATCTTAGGTCTGTACCTAATTAATATATTTGATTAAAATTTGATATTATAAACATAACTATTTGTCACCTATCAAATCCATTGTAGACATTAAGGTAGTGTGATATAATCCAAAGATAAAGAATTAGGTTAAATGTTCTATTCTAATTGTTGTCAATAAAAATTAAAAAATAATAATAATTAAAAAAAACACTACTATTTATTTATGGACAAACATATTAATTAATTAGAACACTAATGGTGATTTCACATTAATTAATTAGCTATGGTCTTGCATGATATTGTAGATTTTGCAGACCAACCATAGGAGTCAAACAATGACTAAGAAACAAAGAAAATGATACCCTAAAAACATTAGAGGCAGGGTAGGGTGTCTATTGACTTCTGTAGGAACATCAACTTTTGAGCCACTATTTCCTGTTTGTGTAATATATCATATATGCTTCTATATTCAATTTTAGTAGTACTTTTGCTCTTCATTTTGTAAACTGAGACTCAGATTTATAATATAATTGTTTATAAATGGGACGTAGGGAATATTTAATCAAACTATTTTTGTTCTATTATTTTTAAACTTAGGCCAAAATACAATTTGACCACCAAACTGATGAGTTTAACTAAAGAATAATAATGATAGAGATTACAATAGTTGAATAAATTCGACTAATTTTATTTAAGAAAATACTAATGTTATTATGACATGAGATATATTAATGTCATCATTATGGCATCAATCTCACTCACATAAAATCAATCATTAATGTTGACAAAAAAAAATCAATCATTAATGCGTTAGGCTTATTAATGTGTAGTTTATGTCCTTTGTCACTAGTTTAGCGTTAGATAATCTCTTCACCACAGGTGGGGGAGTACTTAGTTTGGGACCAGAAAAGATGATATACTAACTTGTTAGGTTTGGTTTATTAATGTGTATTAGGTAAATACAATTGTCATTCTCAGTCAATTCTCAGTCAATTTTATTTAAAGGTGACACCTACACTAATGCTTAAATTATTTTGTGGCCCCAGTAAAATTGACGTTGCTAGTTCATTTTCACTGCCATCCAACTACTAGTAAGTGCATGATCTCTATATTGTCCTGATGACTTACAACTGGTGATAAAGAAAAAGAAAAATGATATAATTTTGGACTTTTGTTACACCGTTTAAAAATATCAAAAAAAAATTTCTTTAAGTATTTATCTCAATCACTAATTTTTACATTAAGTCAATCGTATAGTTCTTAATATTCGGAAGAAAAGAGAGTATGTGTACGACGTCCTACGTTATTGTGTAAACATATTTTGAGAAAAATCGTGAACTTAGACCACGGTGTATTAATTTTCGTGGGCTCAGGTGTGTCCTCCAGCATTTATTTCCAAGGAGAAGCAAACATGCATGACGCATGTCATTAAGCGTTGAACCTGGTCAGGTCATTGAGGTTACTAGAGATTAGCTCCTTGTGGCTACATCCCACGTGACCATGTATAATTTAGCCCATTTCAATACGTATTTATTATGATTTAAAGAAAGATCCATTAAGAAAGGTTGAATTTTAAAAAGAAAATTTGCATTATTGACCCTCTGCTTCTTGATGGGAGTAGAAGATTGGAGGGGGTCCCCAAGCACAAGGAGATTTTCCTCGTTGTTGCCGATTAGGGTCCGTTACCTTCTTTTGTTGCATTTAATAAGTTTCATGTTACGTCAATTCAAACAGACTTGATCGGTTCAATTGTGAGCTTATAAAGCAAATTGCATTATCTGATCCAATTGTTGTTTTTGTTTTTGTACTCGTTGTTGTTGTTGTTATTGTTTTTTTTTTTTTTTTTGCCTCTAGCAATTGTATTTTGATTCATGAATGAGATGTCTACATAATTTTTTAGTATTATTTTCAAATTTATTTATTAATGCAAATCAACTCATTTATATAAGGATAATACTTTGGAGTTCGAAAGTCGGACAACTCCGATTAATTTATGTGAGCGAAGGTACTCACATAAAATTAATTTGATTTGTCCGACTGTTGAACTCTCTATTATTATTTTTAATACAAAAATAAGATTATACAATAATTATTTATAACATAGAGAACATCAAAAAGAAGCAAATAGAAGTTAGTTGTGCTATAAAACTTAGCATTATCAATGGAGCATAAAAGATAACACTTTGGGTCTTCGAACATGCCTCCAGGCTAAAAATTACAAATTGAGAAGTTGGGCATTTTCATGGGCCAACAGCATTGGGCTACCAAGATAATTTTAAGACAGTCTCTATAAAACAGGTCTAGGCCTGCTATTACTTTTAGTTTCAAGCCCAAAAACAAATAGAGAAACCCAGTTACCATCTCGACCCACCAGAAGAGAAGCCTTGAAGAGAATTCCATCACAACCCATCAGGCCCAACTCAGACTACAATAAAGAAATAAATAAATAAAATTATGTCTATCGGTTTCTTAGAGTACTCTATAATTCACAATAAAAAAATATTCTTGGAGGTGACATTAGGAAAATTCGAACTCCCAAACTCCAAGATGCTCTTGGAGTTGGTTAAAAATTCAAATTCAAACTCTCAACTTAATGAATGTACCACTCGGCTTAATAATCTGCATTTTTTTTTTTTTTTTTAACATTTGATATAAAAAAATAATTTAAAAAAATGATTATTAGGTAATAAAATAAGGAGATAATATTTACTTCACTTCTTTCACAAATGCACTAAAAATTTCAAGTGAAATGAAATTACTGTCACTATTTCATAAGTATTATTGTCATTTAAGAAAAATTAAAAAATGAAGTCTATTTATCAAAAATGGGTGTGAATATCACCTTCCTAGAATTATCAATCATTATTAATTGATCATTCAGTGCATATATACAAATTTGATTTCCACAAATATACATATATATATTGATTAGTGTTTTATTATTGATGTTATAAACTCTACTCGAACTAGTTCTTGTATATTCCTACCAAAGTCCAACTAATCACAGTATCCAAACAATCGCCAAATCCCCATGGCAATTACGTAATTATACATCTATTACAGCACTATATATAAACACATTACCTAAACAATGCCGCCCTCTTTCTACTTTCTCGAACCAAAAACCCTAGCTCCTCCTCCTACCTCTACTTTCTCTCTCTAGAAACCCTAGAAATGGCTGCGGCAGCTCGGCCTCTGGTCACCGTCCAATGCCTCGAATCTGACATGGCCACCGACGGAGCTACCTCCCTTCCCTTGCCGGACGTCATGAAGTCCTCGATCCGTCCGGACATCGTAAACTTCGTCCACTCCAACGTCTCCAAGAACCGCCGCCAACCCTACGCCGTGTCCAAGAAGGCCGGCCACCAGACGTCCGCCGAGTCATGGGGAACTGGCCGCGCCGTCTCTCGTATACCCCGCGTCCCCGGCGGCGGCACACACCGCGCTGGCCAGGGTGCCTTTGGCAACATGTGTCGCGGTGGCCGTATGTTCGCTCCGACTAAGATCTGGCGCCGCTGGCACCGCAAGATCAACATCAAGCAGAAGCGATACGCTGTTGCTTCCGCCATCGCCGCCTCTGCCGTTCCCTCTCTGGTCATGGCCCGAGGGCACTGCATCGAGTCTGTACCTGAGATCCCCCTCGTCGTCAATGACTCCGTTGAGGGCGTCGAAAAGACCTCGAACGCTATCAAGGTTCTCAAGCAGATCGGTGCATATGCTGATGCCGAGAAAGCGAAAAAAAGTCACTCGATTCGGCCTGGAAAAGGTAAAATGCGCAATCGGCGATACATTTCTCGCAAAGGTCCGCTGATTGTGTATGGTACTGAGGGATCGAAGCTCGTCACCGCATTCAGGAACCTCCCTGGAGTGGAGATTGCGAATGTGGAGCGACTCAATTTGCTGAAGCTCGCGCCTGGAGGTCATCTGGGTAGGTTTATAATATGGACAAAATCGGCTTTTGAGAAGTTGGATTCGATCTACGGATCGTTCGAGAAGTCATCTGAGAAGAAAAAGGGTTATGTTCTGCCGAGGTCGAAAATGGTGAATGCGGATCTTGCGAGGATTATTAACTCTGATGAGGTGCAGTCAGTGGTGAGGCCGATTAAGAAGGAGGTGAAGAGGGCACCTTTGAAGAAGAACCCATTGAAGAATCTGAATACTATGTTGAAACTGAACCCCTATGCAAAGACTGCGAGGAGGATGGCGCTTTTGGCTGAGGCTCAGCGAGTGAAGGCGAAAAAGGAGAAGCTTGATAAGAAGAGGAAGGAAATCACTAAGGTACATTTATTTTATTTTGATTTGATTTGTCTTTACATTTGATGCTGTCAATTTATCACTATTGTATATGCTTGTTTGAATGTATGCTTGTAGAAATTATGTTATTATGCGGACATTCTTGTAGATATAGTGCTATTATTATATGGTGTATGCTTGTAGTGAATATAAATCACTAATGTAGATTTTACTGAATATAAATCACTAATATGCTTGTAGATATAGTGTTATTAGGTGGAAATTCTTGCATGGCTGAAATTGGTTTATGCTATCTCCGCTTCTTTTCTAGTTTTTCGAGTGGTTATAATGTTTGTCTATGTATTTTGTGTGTTTTAAGTGTGATCCTAAAATTACTGCTGCAGTGTCTTTAGTCATTCTAGAATGACAGCAATGTTTGAGGTAAGAGCTGCCTAGAAAATACTTGGTAATATTATATTAAAGCTGTTGGGTAATGATTTTCTAAATTGGAAATGGGTTATGTGCTGGATCAATGGAACTTCCTTGACCATTTCAGTGTGATGTTTGGTTCCTATCCAAATGGGTGCCTATTCTGATTAAATATGGTGTGATGTCCTACCTACGGACGTAGCACATGTTCTACTTGGTTGCCCTTGGATTTATAATGTTGGTGCAATCCATTATAACAAAGACAATAACTATGTCTTCAAGTATAGTTTACTATAATGTTAAACCCTGCAAAACTAACAAGACCATCAGAAATAGGTTCTATAGCACCATATAGGTCTTCTTCTCAATCATGTGATGACAAACATGTGTTGATAAAAGAAGTAACTAGGGAAAATCCTTGTACTTCATCCGACATGGTGTTGGAATCTCCACCACCTGCAGTCACCACTATGAATGGAACTGATGATGTAACACCAAAGGAACCTCCAGCTAAGTGGCCAACCATAAACGACATTCAACACACGATGGACTTAAATTCAGGGACACAAACACGTAGTTCCCAACATTATTGCTCGACTCTTATAAGGTGTGCTGAATTTGAACAAGTGAATAGATATTCAAATAAAGACTTCATTCAAGATTATTCTGACACAATATTTCCACATGCATGTGTACATGTAGCTGTTTTTATTACATGTGTGTTAGTATTGCTGAAATGATGATTACTTTCACTAATCCCTGAAAATTTTGTTATTCAATTTGAGCAAGTTTTATTACCAATTTTTATTGGTAAGTTTGCCTTTTATTACACATATACTATCTTGGCAGTTGGTTAACCTTCTCATGTAGGATTAGGGTGGCCCTTAGATTCGAGTCTGAAATTGATGGCTTTACGTAATGAGTGAAGCAACGGGGAGTGAGCAAATACCTTAAAATTTCTGTAGGACTACTTTTACCGGGCTACCAAGGTGTTGGGATGGTGGATTGTCAATAGACGTAGTTTTAGTATCATTGTGAGCCTATATTACAAGGTTATTTAGCATGTTTGTTTGTTTGACAGGGTATCCAAACCCATGCATTTGTCTCGTGTCATTTACTGTTTTCATCATGTTTGATTGTGCAAATGACTTCTCTACCTGGGCTAATTGTCTATTATGCCTCGTGGTAGGTCTATTTACGTGGAATCTGGTATGTTTTGAGTGTGGACAAGTCCTGCTAGTAATTTATTGAATAGTTGTTGTACGGTGCCTTATGAAATTAATCTGTTTATTCTGTTTAATAGTTCGACTTTTTATTCTGTTGTGCTTTATGAATGTGTTGTCTTCCTTAACCTTTGAGTTTTCACTACTATTGATTACTATTTCCTTTTAAGTGGATTTCGAACTTGTGCGTTCTCTTTCCCAAGCTTTGTTTGTACAAATTCATTCATGTATTTTCACAATGACAATTCTCTATGCTAGTTTAATATGAGGAAATTAGCAGCCGCATTCTTCCATGTGCCATAATGAATGTCAATTTTATTAATGTACTGTTCTTCATCTTTTATAGAAACTAGAATGCTCTTGCATCTTTATTGACTCCATTTTGTTCCATTTTTTCCTTTCCTTTTTAGGAGGAGATGACTTCTATAAAGGCTGCTAGCAAGGGGTGGTACAAAACAATGATCTCAGACAGTGATTATACCGAGTTTGATAACTTCACCAAGTGGTTGGGTGTTTCCCAGTGACTTGGTTCATCTTTAGGATATATTTATCAGTTTTGGGTGTGGTCTTTTTGACATTAAATGGGATGGGAATTACTGGGATAACGGTTTCTTTGCCTAGTGTATTTTGTTGTCGAAATTTATGAAGGATTTTCCCCTTTTTTTTTTTTGTTAAAACAGAACTAAATCAAATATTTAGAGTTGTTCTCGAATGGATTATTTAATATTTTAAGGTTAATTGATTATCTTCACTGGGTTCATTGCGTGACTTCAGTTGCATTGATGCTGCATCTATGACTCCTATATTTAGATGCATGTATAGTTGTTGTCCTGATTTTTCTCAGTTATGGTTCTCTGTATTTCTCTTGTTATGTTTGAGTCCGATTCCAGTTTGCTAATTACTGTATTGGTAAGTTAATTTTGGTTAATGATTATTGTCTCCTGTTCTACTAAAATTTTGGTAGCTTCTAGGGCTGCAAATGACCCAAGCATGCTCTTGTCTCCATTGTAGTGGAATTTGAATTCAGTTTTAAAGCTCATTTAAGAAATGGGCGGATTTTGAATTTTATGATTGGTGTTCATGCATGAAATTACTTTCTGAAGGCTTGTGAAGATAACCCACATTAGGGCTTATTTAGTCTTGAAATCGAAATTTCATGTGAATTTTGGTTCTCGATTTGGAGCTCAAGTTTTAGCTTGACAATTCCTGCCCTAGCCCATCAATGGTTACTTTTTTGCACAGTACTTTTTGAAGCAAATTGACTGCCACAAAAAATATGATCTCTATATAATTAAAATAGATGACAGGTGTTTTTTGCCCATTACTGTCCGAGTTTACTGTCGGAGTCTATTTATACATATTCTTAAAGAGTTGGAGGAGTGTAGTCCTTCCTAATTATTATGTAGTCGGAGATCAGGGCGGTCGGCAGCGGTTCTCAGTCGGAGGAATGTAGCCCTTGTCCTAGTTATTATGTAGTCCGATATCATGTTGCGGTCAGCGGTCAGCGGTCAGCGGTCAGCGGTCAATCACAAAGCGGCACAACTTCTTGGCGGGGATCATGTAATTAAATTGTGACTTATTACATGAGTTTTTGGATGTACATGGATGAATGTGATGGGGTTGCATTTTATCTTGGTCAAAGAAAGTTGTTCTTCTTGGTTGTGATTTCTTTTCTTGTTTTTTCCTTCAGATTCCTTTATTATATTGTTGATCACGGAGGTATTCCACATATTTAATCATAATCAATGGAACTAATTCATGTTTTTCTCGTTAAAGAATTTTGTTTTGGTTAAAGGGAACCAAGTCATGTTGCTCACTTGTATTCCACATAGTTTTAATCATATATAATTAATAAAACCAACTCATGTTAATCAAATTGCTCTTTTAAGACAAAACTACAATTGTAATTATAGAATTAATTGGTGACTCCTCTCTCTTGAACCTATTTCTCTAGTCACTGCAGGTCTCATTCATTATATCAAATGGGTGGATAAAAACCTATTGCCTATCAACGATGGTTTCGATTTATCCTTTGATATAATGAATGTTTATAAAATGTTGATTTGAGAATTTGATATAGTGAATAGGATGAAAAATCGATTTATAAATCATTCTCGGATCAATGTGAATGGTAAAAGAATTTTATACCTATGATATAGCGAATGAGGCTACGTTGTACAGTAGTATTTTGGTACCATCTCCATCTTTTGAAACACTTTTCACAAAGGTCGATAAAAACATACGTAAATGTTTATCAAAGAGGTGATGATTGATACCGGCAACAACTAGCACCAAATATATCAATCTCTAAAGCGTACGCAACCAAAAAAAAAATTTATTTTTTTGCTAGAACTGGTAAAGTGTTTTTTACTCTAGTTTCTCTTGAGAGATCGTACATTGTATGAGGAAACATCTAAGTAGTTTCTAAAAAGCAAAATCATAAAAAAAAACCATTTTTTTTTTTTTTTTAACAAATGTTTTGCGGGTTTACTGAAAATTGAAATGAATCCAGTAGGACTAGGAAATTTCCTAGCAAATTCCCACTGCATGGGACAAATTAAACGTTATGCAGTAAATATCTGAAGAGTGACAGGCGATCTTCTATGTTGCTACTCAACATGAATGTGCTAGGAAAGTTCTTGCACTCACTTCTCTAAGAGCTCTCATCACAATCACATGCTTAATATGTATCCAGTACTCTCTATATAAGAAGCAAGCATGAATTGATTTTATATGTACAACGATTACAAAGATTGAGGAGAGAGAGAAATATATATACATACAGAAATATATATACAAGAGAGAGAAACATGTTGGTAGTGGAGGAAAACAGTTGTGAGGCTCTGCCACTTCTCTCTTTGAATCATGTGTCATTGTTGGTGAGATCAGTTTGGGCTTCTGTGAGATTCTATGAAGATGTGTTGGGCTTCTTTCTTATCAAACGTCCTTCCTCTTTCAATTTCCATGGAGCTTGGTTAGCCTTCATTAATCTTTATATATATATATAAGTATATATATATAGGCAGTAATTTTAAAGCTGAAAAGTTTGAAAGTGAAGTCCGAAAACTCCATATTCATGAGCTACACTGAACTACGATTTGAAATCCAGTTAAATGTATCCATTGAATGGAAGTTTTTGACTCTTAATTTTGTTCAAACTCTTCGACTTTAATATTTGTACTTTATATATATCTCTATTTAGAAATTGCGATTCTTTATTTTCTTTATTATTTATTTAGAAAACTAAACAAAAGGAATAATGTTATTTTTAGTATTATTATTTTCATATCCATGATTATATTAATGAAACTGCTAACTTATCTCTAAACATTTTTTCCTAGGTTATACAATTATGGCATTGGGATACACTTGCTTGAGAACGAGTCCATTGATGAGTATGATTCCATCAATGAAACCCGACCCATCAATCCCAAGGATAACCACATATCCTTTCAAGTAAGAAATTCAACATTTCTTCTTTTTTAAGTATTTTTATTAAATGCTTAAATATAAGTATATATATATACACATATATAAACGCATAGTAACTTATCAAAAAACTATTAGATGGTCTGTATCCTACTCGGTGTCCATTCCAATTAATTAAATTCATATTCAGATTTCTTTATAATAGCTTATAACACCACTTGATTTCACATTTCTTAACGAAGAGTAATGCCGTTGTAATATAAATAATTATTATTAGTCGAATCCCGGAACACTCCGATTATCAAAAAAACAAATAAATAAATAGGGTTAATTGTAAAATGTCTTTGAAACAGTGCACTGACGTTGAGCTTGTAAAGAAGAGGTTGGAGGAGCTGGGAATCAAGTATGAGACAGCTTTGGTGGAGGAAGATGGGATTGAAGTGGACCAAGTGTTCTTCCATGATCCGGATGGTTACATGATTGAGATCTGCAACTGTGACAACATTCCCATCCTCCCCATCTCTGCATGCTCCTTCAAGCCCAGGTATGGAAGCAGCTTCTTCAGGAACATTCCGGCAGCGCCGAAATGTGGATTAATGGAGATTGTGATGATGGAGACCTTGAGCATGGACATGATGAACTTCTCTTTCTAAAGTACTTGTCAAAATGGCGAAATTTATCTTCTGCTTTCAATTGGCTTGAGCATATGGATATGGTGGACTTTTCTTTCTGAAGTTGTGAAAAATGGTGAAATCTTCTACTTTCAATTGTTAATCACAATGTAATAAAATATTATGATTCTATGTATATGTGTGTGTGTGTGTGTGTGTGGGCGCGCGCGCGCGCGTGTGTGTAATTGATTTGAATGGAGAGTATGCAACATATGTGGTACTTCTTGTAAGATTATGAGATTTACCCCAAACTGGAGTTGGGGGTTGTGATGTAATATTTATGGCAAAAGGGCTACAATCAAATGATCAAGTGATATTCGAATACTTATAATTAATTGCACATACTTTTGTGAGCAAAGTACCACGTTAAGAAAACCCTAATCGAAAATTTGATTTGAGTCTCGAGTGCAACTCCTATACATATTCGAGATGATAGTGTTAGATCTGAGTTGATCTCAGGAAGATTTGAACTTTTCATCTCTAAGATGGAGATAAGATTCTTACGTAAAATTATTTCTTAGAGTATTTTTTTATTATGTATTTCATAGGGAAGGTAAGACAATGTGTACACGAGCAAATGACAAATTTGTGACTCTCTTCTTTGATTTCTTGGACTTCTAGAGAAAAGGGCTGGATCAAATCCAAACCCAAATCTTTTGGGTCAAAGTTTAATTTTCATGGTACGACTATGCATCATAATTGATGGACATGCTCTGCATACACTCTTGTCAGCAATTTTAGTATTGCTCTATGATCAAACTAACTATTGCTTAGGGCATCTCTCTGATGGGTTGTCATATGGGCTGTCAATTCAAAATATAACAGGTGGGCTTATAAATAGGCTCTCCAATGCAATGTTATATGTGCTGCTACTTTTTAACTTTGTTATTTTTTATGCCAATTGTAGCAAAACAAATACCAATTGTTATATGGGCTAGGGCCACAGAAAAGAAGAACCGGCTTCTATTTAGGGCAATAGAGAGAGAGAGAAGAGAACAGCGGCAGAAGCTTAGTTTGCAAAAGATCATAAAATAGAATTACACCAAATAGGATTACAGAAAAGATCATAAAAAATTTCACCAAATAGGATTTAGTTTGCAACACAAGAATTACAGACCTTGATTACAAAAAAAAAAAAAAAAAAAAAAAAAAAAAAAAAAAAAAAAACCATATATACAAGTTAGCGGTTGCAAAGAGAGGGGGGCAAGCTTGAGAATTGAGAGATAGTGGCAAAGAGTGAACACGAACGGGAACAATGGGCGATGGAAACTAAAAGATATAGGTTTTGATTTTTTGATCAATCTGAAATGATATGGCCGAGAGAGGGGGCAAGTTCGGTGAGAACGAGAATAGAGATGGAGGCGATTGGGGAGGCTAAAATGATTTGCCCTAAATATATCCTATATTTTTTCCAAGGTCAAGGGCCTATAAATTATATAGTTAAATATATTTAAATTATATAATTAATTGTATGGGTCATGGGCCTCTCTTTTTTTCTTTCTTTTTTTTCTTTTGTTTTGTTTTGTTTTTTTTTTTTTTTTTTTTTTTTCTCCCTATATTTTAGATTTTTGCTTCTTTTTAATTAGATTTAATTTTAGTTTCCTTTTAATGTCTACAACTTGACTTGGAATATGCTTAATATTAATATTACTGATACAAATATGAATGATGTGAATGGTAGTTTAAAAAGAATGATAGTTGTGTTAAAAAATAGCATTTTGCATAAAATGCACCGTTAGAGCAGAATTGATAAAATATAATATTTTGACACTGTAGTACTTTTCAAAGTATAGATTTGGAATGTAAAAATGACTTATAGCATTAAAGATGGTCTTACAAACGTTTTTTTTAACTCCAGAAACATGCTATTTTCTTTATAAATAATATATGATATTTTATTAAATTATTTATATTCATTATAGTTCATCTGTTTCTCTATCAACACGTAGATACAAAACTTGTCAAAATTACCAAGAATATAGATATTCACGAGCATATCTGAGCAAAGATTGCCATTGCTCAAACCTCACTTTCATAGGTCAGATTAAGATTCGACTGCAACTCTCTTTTCAATGAAAACCAAATTCAAATCCCTATCAATCCCCTCTACCCGAATTTGTAAGGTGAAAAAGGGAGGACAAAAGGTAACAATAGTATGCACATTCCACTAGTCCTCTCCTCCTCATGGCAGCATTGAATGGCCAGTAATCCATGTTACGTGGACCATTCATTTACGGACGTGTTATGACCGTTTTTCATCATAGAGAAAGAGGGCATCGAATCTACTAGTTGAAGTCAAAAATCGAGCAATTGATCGTTTTTCTTTGGACCTTACCCTTTTCAAAAAAAATAACAAAATCTTCGCAACGATTTCATGAGTGGGACCCACATGAATCTTCGTTAAAGACAAAAAAATTAAAATTTGAATTAAAATTTTTTCTAATTTTAAATTCAAATCAGCGAATTCACCCCCAAAACATAACATCACAAATATTTACTATGAATTTCCAGCCCTACAAGTTAAATATGTTGAACTAGAAATTGAGTGATGGCTAAAGCTGATTTGTTGAGGCATTTGGGTGGAAAATTCAAAATTTCATTCCCATTTTTGTTGTGTTGATGGTTGAAGAAACAGAGGAGGACATTTCTTTAATGATGGGAATTGAGGTGGGACCCAATTCAGATATGTAAATGGTGGGTGAGGATGAAATGGTTGTCATTTTCAGTACCTCCATTGCCTTGGCGTCATGTGGCTTCCAAGTGATTTGAGGGAGCAAAATTGACACGTGTCTCACTACCCACCGTCAATTACCTACTAGAAAGTCCCCCCTCCTGGTCTGGTCCCGCAGTACCACATTTTATCCCCCATCCCACTAATCCCATTCCATCCCCATCATCACCCTTATCATTTCGTCAAATTTAACACCAAATCTCTACCTACACCCACAAAGCCAATATATTATGTGTGGCTGGTGCAATCAGAGTCGTCTGTTTCCACACGTGGCACGCTGAATACCTACTCCATAATATCATTTTTGACACAACAAAACAATTATATACATATTCGTATATTATTTATATAAATAAAAAATAATTTTAAGGTAAAATGCAATAACAACCTTTGAGATTTTTACAGTGCATTTCAACCTTTTCGCGTGTATAAAACATCCTAATTTAAAAGAAATGTATAAATGAGTCTTAATGACACATTAGAGCAATACATTAACCGAATTATCCTTATATACGCCATTTTTACATTATTTTAAATAGGTTAAAGTGCATTAATACCCCCGTGATATTCTTATGGTGTGCATATCAACCCCCTTGTGTGCACAAAACATCCCAAATTTGGAAAAAAAAAAAAAAGAAAAAAGAAAAAAGAAAAGAAGAAGGTAAAAAAGGTGCATATCAATCCCCTTGTGTGCACAAAACATTCCAAATTTGAAGGAAAAAAAAAAAAAAAAAAAAAAAAAAAAAAAAGTTACACCTGACAGATTCAAGTAAAAATAACTTCTTTCTTGAAGTTGAGGGTGATGCCATGAGATATTATTGTAGAGTGTGAGAGATTAAAAAGATACTACCTTTGTTCCATATTAAAAGTATGTGAGTTACAGATCTCGAGGTAGACTTTTAATATAAAGCGGAGGGAATAATACACTACCATAAAAGACAGGGTGGGCATGAGGCGGGTTTGCCTCAATCTGTATCTGCCCCATTTAATTTTAAACAAATTTATATCCACAATGGGTTTTAATTTCAAAATCCATAACCAACCCGTTAAGAAATGAGTGTACCCATCCCGTCCCGCCCATGTTTTTTTTTTTGGTAAAATTTATAAATTTTATACAATGTAAATAATGATATATATATATATATAAAATAAAGTATGAAGTGCGAGGTGGGGAATATGTTTCTCAAAACTTATACCTGCCTTACGATATATAAGCGATTTCCATATCTGTACCATGTGGATGAAGCGGGGCTCGGGCAGGGGCAATACAAAATATTTTTTGGTGTTGTATTATTTATTTAAATGTGTTGCAAGTTCGAACATCTGATCTTTCTTTGGGAAGCAGGGACTTTATACCTCCAGGCCACAGGCCTGTTAGTCATCATATCATTGTCTTTATCTAGTACCAATGAGATTCGGATGGTCACATAAAAAAAAATCCAATTTTTTTATTATAAATTATTTTTTTACAAAATTTAATTTTTAAAAATTATTTCTTATCACATTTTTATTTTTTAATATTTTGGATTTTTTTTCCAATTTTTTTATTATAAATTATTTTTTTACAAAATTTAATTTTTAAAAATCCCTTCGAAACCTCTTTTGTCTTTTTAGGTTCTATGAAATTTGTTCCTCCTCTCATAGTATGTCCAGACCACAGAGTCACGGACTAACTTCTCTCTATTCTTTTGATCATTAATCTTTTATCTTTCTCAATTATTCTTAACATCAACTTATTCACCTTAATCTTTTGATTATTAATCTTTATCTTTCCTAATATTCCTAACATTATTGTAATCTCTTCTGAAAAAATAATAATTAGTTCTATGGTCGATGAATTGACCCTTTTCTGTCCCAATCTTTGTTCTGACTTTAAAGTTTGATTTTTCGTTGTTTATGTCCAGTTTTGGCTTTTATGTGTATATATATGTGTATACATATATGTATATATACACACGATTATATATATCTTATATAGCTGACAAATGAAAGTGAAGCACTACGATAACCATGCGAATGCTGTGTGACGTCTGTGAAAGCGCTGCCGCCATCCTCTTCTGCGCTGCTGATGAGGCCGCTCTCTGCCGCTCTTGCGATGACAAGGTATATGCCCCGCTCTCTCTCTCTCTACATATATATATATTTATATATATATATATACATGTGTGTGCTTTCTTCCTATGCCTATCTTTATTAGAAAATTGAATGGTTCCAATTTTGTTCTGTTGATAAATTGGCTGTGAATTGAACAATTGATCTGTAATCATAGCAAGACATGTTTGTGTGCGCGCTCATTAACTTTTTACATTGACATATTGAACTAAATTTGATATTTTTGAGAAATAACTGCTGTTGCAGTAAATAAATCTCAGAAACAATTGCTGTGTTTCTGTGCTCAATTGAAACTGTTGTAATTCTTCTGTTGTTTCCATGTATATAGGGATTTGACAATGTTTATTTGGCTTGGTATTGTGAAAATTGTTTGGTTAAGAGGGCACAAATCAACAGGTTTATGCATTGACCTATCCAAACAGCACGGTGCTGTGCATAGTATAGGACCCTAATTCACTATGAACGAACCCAGATCTTTTTCGTATGCATAGCATGTTGTGCAGAGGGGAAGTTGGAGATCATCCCACGTGGGGTGGGGTCCACTATCTCTATTGGGACCACACCTCAAGTGGGGTGATCTTCACCTAGGAATGGCATTGGGTTTGGCTGAACCCTACCCTGACCTGTTGAAATTATTTCATCCCATCCCTGTCCTAACCCTGGGACAGGTTTTTGTTAACAACACCATCCCCGTCCCGGGAATAAGTTTATTTTGGTTGGTATTGGGAAACTTGTTTATTTAATAGCACAAATCAATAAGTTTATGCATTGAACTATGGTATTGTGTAGCTTTAAGAGTTATTGCTCAGATATATATAATCGACTATGAAAAAACAGAAGCTCAAGTCGCATCTCTATAAACACCAGACAGGCATGTATGAGGATGGTGTGGTATCAGATGGATCCATTTTTTCTTTGCTTTTCTTGTGTTGTGCCTCCGTTCCAGATTTTAATTAGTTGCTGCCAAGGTGGATGTGAAAACAATTTTGATCTTCACAAACTGTGAGAAAAAGCATACATAAGTGAAAACAATTTTGACTCTAATTATTTCTCCCATTGCATGAAATTTGAATAATACTTGCAAGTACGACGATGTGTTACTCATTGTTGTGTTTTCCAACTCAACTCAATAAAGGCTTTCCAACTATTTTGGGGTTGTTTTCACTCTATCTGGAGTCATAATATCAGTCAAATCACGTGTTATTTTTTCTGTACTCACTATCTCAACCCAAATTAGTTTTGGCATTTTATTTCCTCTTAACATTACCCTCAATGTGGACCACATTTCTCTTCCTCACTGGTGCATTATTGGTCTTACAGGCACATGGCCAAACCATATTAATCGTTTTTTTTTGCCTTCCTCATTCTACCTCCAGTTAATGCTACTTTACTATTTTACAAATTTTCCTCTTTTTTTATTATTATTATTCTTTCTTGCTTTAACACAGATCTATCTCGACATTCACATTTCAAAGATACTCATTTTATGAATATATTATTTCTTAACCTTCCAACACTTTCTCCCATTAAATAGCTCTTTAATTGGTGATGGCTGTTTCATGGAATTTAACTCGGTTTTAGAGGTATACATCGAATACACACTATGCCAAAGCACTCCTCCATTTATTTCATCCTAAATTCTATTTTAAAGGGATAGTTGTTCTTGTGAGCCCAAAATTGTTCCAACCAGAATTTATATGCTGTAAATCAGATGTTTATGTTACTTGCCTTTGCTTTTGAACATCCTTTTCTACCTGATTATTAATGAAAACAAGTTTGTTGTGTTCTTAATTTTCTATCCAAAATGGATCTCTATTTAAAAAGCTTCTTTGATCTCATGGACTTAACTCTGTCATAGCTGTCTTTTAGGTGGTTTATTTTTCAAAAATTATAGAAAGAAAAAAGAAGAAAAATAGAGATTCCGCAAACTCAATTTTGTCACAATGGTTGTAAGATCGGTGGTCCCATGATATCACAAGTTTTATCATCATCATGAACATCATTTTGGTACATACATGCATATCAAATCCTTCTTGGGAACACTCTGAGTTGGGCCCTAACCTTACCACTTAACGTGGGAACATCACCTTGGCACCACTTGGGTTTCATTCAAGGACTGTGATGTTGTCAAGTATTATATGGTGCAACTATATGTGTGTTCTTTTCTAAACATATAAGCCACTGTCATATATATTTAGGATTAATGTCTTCGTGTAAAAAAACCCTCTGAATTTCTACTTTTTTTAAAAAAAATTGTGGAGATGCTCTAAATTAGAAATACTTTCTTAAGATATTTGTAAATTGGGATCGCAGGTCCACATGTGTAATAAGCTTGCCAGTCGGCATGTAAGGGTGGGACTTGCTGACCCCAGTGATGTACCTCACTGTGACATATGTGAAAATACTCCTGGTAAGCAGATTTTAATCTTGTCCCATTCTCTTTTCTTTGTGTGTGTTTGTCTTTTTCTTTTTAAGAGACTAACCTTTTCATTTTATCATTACTGAGGTTTGAACTTATGTTCTATGCTTTGAATCATGCTTTCAGCTTTCTTTTACTGTGAGATAGATGGAAGTTCCCTTTGCTTGCAATGTGATATGACTGTACATGTTGGAGGTAAAAGAACCCATAAAAGATACCTCATGTTGAGGCAAAGAGTTGAGGTTTGTTTCTATTGTTTATGATTTGAAACATTCTTCCTTTTGTTACGCTAAGAGTATCTTAGACTTATTCTACTGTTGATTCCATCTGTAGTTTCCGGGGGATAAACCTGGCGATATGGTGGACCCGACCTCTCAACACAGAGATCCAGGAGAGAACAGGAAGGGAAAAAATATGCCACTCACACTGACAAATGGAGAGAACCAGCCAAATCACACGATCTCTCCTGTTCGAATGTCAGATGTCAAGGCTGATGGGCATGCCAAGATGGACACTAAGATGATTGATTTGAATATGAAGCCATATCGTACTTATGAACAAGCTTCAAATAATCAGGTTATTTGTTTCCCTTTTCTCCATTCTTTATCTCTAAAAATCAGATCATGAATCATGATTTGTTTTGATATGGATCTCCACTTGCATATTAGTGTCTCTGAGAAATAGAATGGTTCAATGTTGTAAGGCAGAATATGGTGAAAAACTAAAACAGTATCAATAAAAGACATTCTAATCATGATCATCCTCTATTTGCAGCAAGATAGAAATCACTATTTTTATACAAATTGGATAAGTTTAAAATGATGGGTAACAAAATCTATAAGAACAAAACTTTAAAATTTAGAGGGGCATACGGATTAAAGTTAAAGTAGCGGGATTGGATTGAGCATCTCAAAATTCACTGAAATTTACTAAATTTATATTTATAAAAAGTAATAATAATAAAACAATTACGAAAAGTATATGAATGTAACTCAAACATAAAGCAGGATGTAGCCCAAAAAAACTCTTAAACCATTACTTATTTATACATTTGTATTTATGCAAAAGTACAATTCTAAATCTATTACCATAATAAATCATTTGTATAGTATTAATTTGGATATATATAGAATATTAGTTGTAAACCTTAGAACCAAGTTGCAAATAGAGTCCCGAAAAAAGGATAATTGTTATATCACTCTTGTGGTTGAAAATCTACCTACTTTCAACATTCGTATGTGCATCAAACCAGAAAATGAAATTGAGACAGAATGGGAGAATTCACCTTTTAAGTGCTGACAAACTTTTGCAAAACAGAATGGAACATTTTTATTTCTATTGCCATTTAGATGTGTGTGTGTGTTATTAGTTACTAAATATATAGAAGGGTAAAGTGCAATAAACCCCCTTTAACTATTACCTAAGTGCAACTAACCCCCTCGAATTACAAATAACCCCCTCCAACTATGAATTTGTTTAGTTTTAGGACACAGAAAGTTATTCTGGTCCACTTTCATCACCGGAAATTTTTAAACACTTTTTTACCCCTTAAACAGAGTTACAATTTGCTGCCGTTTAACATTGAGGAATTGTTATAACATTGAGGTGTAATCCAAAGGGCCACTAAAATTTTGACACATAAGCAATCTTATCACAATAAACCAATGAGATAAATATAAACATATGGCAATTATCACCTTCACCACTCTCTTCAATTCCTCGGCGTCAACAGACACCATGCCGATTTTATGCCTTTCCCCGACAACTCCATACTCTAATTCATACCTTCTCATCCTCCAGCAACAGAGCCTTCTGTGCCTCTTCCTTCTTCATCATCTTCATCTTCTTAAAAGACCTTCTCTTCTCTCCTTTCAACTTGGGGGTTTCCCGGAAGTTAACAAAAATTCTACCTCGTAGTTTGTGATTGTGGAGTTGGGCTTTTTGTGAAGATTTTACTGCTCATGGAGTTTACCTTTTTTTTTTTGGTCGACGACGGTGTTGTGGACCTTCAAACAAATTTTTTTTTTTTCGCTTTTCCTTTCAAACATATTTATGTGATTCGATTCCAATTTGAGTTCTGATTTGGATTCAAATTTCGATTTAGAGGAAGAATGTTGAGAACACCTGACATTTGGGTTGGCAAAATAAGAAGATTGTTGCTTCTTAAAATTCAAGAGAGTGAAATCTAAACAGATGGTCCACTGCAATTGTTGCTGTATCCAACGAATCTCATGCCGTCTTCTGCAATTGTTTCTTCTCCGGCGAAAGCTTCCTCCAAAAATTCTTCGTTCTCTAATCAGTAATTGAAGAACTACATAACCACACAATCGACACAGACACACACACACACAGAGGGAGGGAGAGAGGAGAAGATCAATGGATTTAAATATATATATATATATATATATTATGGACATGAGAAGAGGGCATTAGAGTCTTTTCATTTTCATAAGGGCATTATGGTCATAAGATGATTTATTATTTGTCACGTGAGTAAATTGTGATCGGAAGTTTGCTGGAATGGGTAATCTGCAACAAAACAGAATAGTTTTAGGGGTTTTCTGCCACTTTAGAAATTCAGGGGGGTTTAGTGCTCATTTGAGTATTGTTGAAGGGGGTTTATTGTACTTTACCCTATATAGAATATTAATTGTAAACCTTTGTAACTAAAGTTACAAAATAATGATGAATGCTATATCACTCCAATGGTTTAGGAGTGCTCTGTCAAACTCCAAATTTGAATAATTCTGTAATGCTTGGTTTGATAGGAGAGATGGAAAAATGGATGGAAGAGAGAGGGGTAGGGATGGATGAGGCATCCCTAGGGAAGGGATGGTGTCTCCTTTGTTTTTTGTTTTGTTGGATGCAAGGGATAATGGAAAGGATGGACAATGTAAAACCTCTGTTTGTTTGATTGGTAGGAAGGGAATGAGGGTTTGTGTAATTTTGTAGATAATTGAAGTCTAAAAATGATATTTTATATTTATTGATTAGTTTTTCTATTTTTCTCTCCTCGCTTCCTCCCAATTTTGGGAGAATGAAAAAATGTACAAGGAAAGCTTTTTTTTATCCCCCCTCTAATCCATCCTTCATCAATCCTTCCTTCCTCAAAATTCTGTGAAATATATTAAGTTCATTTTTATAAAAATAAAAAATAAAACAATTAAGAAAAGTATCTGAATGTAATTCAAAAATAAAGCAGGGGTTGTAGCCCCAAAAAACTCATATACCAGCATTTATTTATATGTTTGTATTACAAAATTAAAATTCTAAATCTATTACCATAATAAATCCTGTGTATAGTATTAATTATTATATATATAGGATATTAGTTGTACACCTTGGAACTTTGTTGCAAATAGAGTCCCGAAAAATGATAATTATTATATCACTCTTGTGGTTGAATCTTATGACCAAACTCCAGATTTGAAGAATGTATTTGAAACTCTACCTACTGTCAACATTTGTATTTCTATTGCCATTTAGAATACGTGTAGGTGTTTGTTTGTGTGTGTGTGTGTTATTAGTTACTAAATATATAGAATATTAGTTGTAAACCTTTGTAACTAAAGTTACAAAATAATGATGAATGCTATATCAATCCAATGGTTTAGGAGCTCTCTTTCAAATTCCAAATTTGAATAATTCTGTAATGCTCGGTTTGGTAGGAGAGATGGAAATATGGATGGAAGAGAGAGGGGGAGGGATGGATGGGGCATCCCTTGGGAAGGGATGGTGTCTCCTTTGCTTTTTGTTTGGTTGGATGGAGGGGATAATGGAAAGGATGGACAATGTAAAACTCTGTTTTTTTGATTGGTTAGTTTTTCTATTTTTCTCTCCTTTCTTCCACCCAATTTTGGGCGGATGAAAAAACATCCAAGGAAAGCCTCTTTTTTTTTTTTTTTTTAATCCCTCCTCTAATCCATCCTTCCAACCAAACATAGCATAAGTTTCTGCCTATTAACAATATTGGTAGGTGCATCAAACTGGAATTTAAAATTAGTGCCCTTAGAATGGTCGTATTCAGGTTAGGGTTCTAGAAACCTGTTGCATAACCGAAACAGATCCTTTTCATTTCTGTTGGGCATTTAGGCAGTAATAATAATTTGCTCCTGTATTTACATAACAATTTTCTTTTGTAGCAGGAACTATGAGTCTTTCAGTCAAGTATTTGCACAGCATTAATAATTCGCGTTGCAGAGCATAAGACTGTGATCAAAGGAAGTAGATAGCACGATAACCATTGTTAGTTATGTGAAATTTTTGCGCTCTCATTTGTGATGTGGTATTCCTATTGAGGTGGCAGTGAAAAATACGCATTAAAAGAGCTCGATTGTTGCATTAACTTTCCGTTACATCTTAAGAGCTGGAACCCTGCATTTGAGGACTGAATTGAAGTGTTCAGAGAACAATGAGCTTTGGTTGATTGAGCTGAAAAATGGTCCAATCGACTAGCTTTGTGAGGCATGTATATAATGTGTTCAGTATATTTACTGCTGTTCTTGTAGTCACTAATGGATGATCAGAGCTCTCTTTTTTATGGCAATGCTTTTGCCTTTCACTTTTTTTTCCCACACTAATGCTGCTGCAGACACTATGGCTGAGGAGAGATGTGTAATCGGACAACATTGAAATCCATGGGCCTCTTCGGTTCAGTTTTCTTAGAACAGTTTTGTGATTTTGAGTTATGTACGTAAAATTGTTTAGTTGTTGATTTCTGAATACTGTTTTTCGAAAAGTCGGTTAAAAAAATGTCTGTTTTCGTAGAATTGTATTTTATATGATTCTTTAAAAAATAATTTTCTGTTTGTTGAATTCTCGAGAGAACAGTTTTTAGAAAACTGAAGCAAACAGGTCTCATGGTCGCATGACCTTACACCGGCCATCATTACTTGACATTAGATGTCAAATGAGAACTAAAAAAAGACTCTTTGTAATTTTTCTTTATTATTATTATTTTTTTTTTCATTTGGGAATAATATGGATATTTTATGATATAGGATGTCAATCTAGGCATATGTTGAAGGAAAAAAAAGTGAATCATATCATCATCAATATAGGCTAAATTCCTCTTTGTGCATTTGAAAGAGCGGAGATAATCAAACACCTTAAGTTGGTTATGGACTCATATTTTTAGATTAAGATATATTAAGACCATATTAGTGCACAAAATTACACGTGTTAATAATATACCGAAATCGAAAATTTTAAAGGAAAAGAGAGAAAATTTTGAAATAAACTACTTACAGTAGAATCTTTCAGATTTGATTTAACCAAAAAAAAAAAACCTTTCCCTATTATGCTATTTCTTCATAATTATTAATGAATCTCATATCTCACTTTGACCTCAAAACCATCTGTCTTTGTGGCATCTCAATAATTCTTTTTTTCATTTAAATGTATATATTATGAAACTTATGATCAATATGTGAAGTTTAATACATATTGAATATATTTATTAGCAAAGAAACACACACCATCCATTTAGACTTTCAATTTGTCTCTTTGAAAACTTAAATCTTCACTAAACTTTTTGAGAGATGGAGGAAATACCGTTAAACCACAAAACCTTACGTCACATGTTGAATTCAATTATAACACGAAGATTAAATAAATAAAGATATGGACACAAATAAATAAATTGAGATTAAAATTTTCCTGTATTTAATTTATGATGACATTAAACTTCCATTCTTACTCACTCACTTCTCATATTTGAAGATGATTATAAATATCAAAAAAAGAATACTGTTACAAAGAGTAACAATAGACACAAATATTTTCTTATTCAAGAGTTGATTTTTTTTTTTTTTTCACACACAAGTCTCAGTGGAGATAATTGTTTGCTACGCTAAACTACTTACTTTCTATTTTATTAAAATTTATTACATTTGTTATTGATAAAATCGTATAAAAAATTTTAAGAGTTTGAATTTTAAATGTTTTTCGAGTTATATATAAAAAATTATATTTTATATATATTTTTAAAATTTTTAAAAATTCCTCGAGAAAAAACTAGTGGTGGACCCACCACAGAAGCCTACACCCTACCTGTCAGTCGGTTGTTTGCTCCTCAAGTTCGGAGTTTTCTTAAAAATGGTTATCCTTCTAACTAAAGAATCAACACATTTTATTACCAAAATAAAGAAAGAAAATAAAAATCATGGCTTGAAATTAATTTTACATTTATTTATTTTGGAATATAGTCCACTAATTAGGGACAAGACAAGTGCTTTTGTTGAAGGAAACTTCATGTTCGGTTTGAAAGAGTGAAGAGAGGAGGATTGAGGAAGGAAAACACAAAGACGACGACGACGAAGACCGAAACTCAGACGCAGAGAGATTGATAGAGAGAGAAGCGAGATGAGGGTGTGGTTTTTGTTCGCCTCCTTGTTGTTGCTAATAACTCTCTCCAATGGCTTTAGATCATCTCGATTTCTGCACCGCATCGCTGGCAGTAGCAATTACTTGACCAATCAAGAACTCTGGTTCAATCAGACTCTCGATCATTTCTCCCCAATCGTACCTCCCTTTCTCTCTCTATATATGCTCTGTATATATATATATATATATTCAAATATGTTTTTGTTCTGTGATTTCACTTTTACATTTTCTGTTCTAAAATTCTTCAACTTTGCCTAATTGATTTACCAACTATTGATTTACATCTCAAACTAAATCAAAATTTTCAATCTTAATTCAGTTATTAATAGTGAAGTGATAACCTAGCTAATAGATTATACATCAGAAATGCCAATTTTAGGATGAATTATATATGCGCGCACGCGCGCGCACACAAATTATATATGTTTGAATATTTATTTTTACGTTTATTATTTTTTAACCAAGGCAAGCAAATCGAATTCCATTCAAACACACAGAAGAAATTCCAAAAGCAGTAGATTCCTGAATAATTAACTCCCAAAGCTTTGAAGGAAATTTTTTCTTCCGTGTCAGTTAAAGGTTCTATTTTGAATTTTGGGTAATGGGTAGGTTGCCTTGAATAAAAATAATCATTACCCTTAGAATATACATTTTGCATAGGAAATTTTTTTCTTCCAAGTCGGTTAAAGGTTCTGTTTTTATCTAGCTTATTCAAGATACTTGCCCAGTGATGCATGAAGAAGATGAGATCATTTTGATTAAAATGTTGATATAGTATATCAGTACGCTCGTTCAGTGGATTTGCTTACACGGTTCTTGTAATGTTGCAATAGGTGACCATTTTTACAAATACTGTGTCAGAGAACTTTTTCCACTTAAGAATTTACTCTTGTCTTTTTTTTTTTTTTTTTGCCATTACCATATAATATAATAATAATAATTTTCCAAAAGAAGCAATAGATTGCAATTGCATGCCCAATCATGGCATCATGTAAGAGGAATTTTCTTTTCTCAAGTTGTGTATTCTACACTCTTACGTATACTAAATACATATTCAAAGATATTGGTGCTAAAATCAATACATTTGATTGGACGTAAACTACTTTTCTTAAACAACTCAAGATATATCTTATTTATTTTGAATGACTATTCTGTCTAGATTCAAAATAATTCTTAAGTGGGCTTCCTCAAATTCATATTGCACATTATGCTCAACCTTTCGTTGCACTGTGTGAGCAGGATCACCGTCAATTTTCACAGCGGTACTATGAATTCCTTGACCACTTCCGACTTCCTGATGGACCAATTTTCCTGAAAATATGTGGTGAATCTGCTTGCAATGGGATAGCCAATGACTATATCAGTGTAAGTTCTATTTTTTGTTTTTCACTAAAGGCTTATTTAATATAGGGGTCCTTGCCTGATAATGGTAAAAACTCGAATTGACAAGCATGGGGTTGTGGGTTTGAGTTTTGGAGCGGTTTTTTTGTGTGTAAATAATGTGAAAGATTAGGTTTTTCTTTAGTCTTCTACTCCCATTGCTCCGCATTGGTGGGGCATACACGGAGCAATGCACTAAAGGCTGATGTAATTGAAAAGCGAGGATTAGAGTTTTTGAAGTGATGAGGCCCTTGCATATTTCTCACTGATTTGACAGGTTAATATGGCTGGACCAAATCATCAGTTAATTCTCAATGTTTTGTTCAGATTTTCCTTTTTGTTATAATATAATCTCAGTGTTATCTTCAATATGTTCCATATCTCCAGTATAAATGTTGACGCTTAATGTTACTTATTGTCTTTTTCTTTTTAATAGTCAGAGGCCTGGATGCTAGTTTTGGTTAATTTTTTTTCTTTTTTTACCCTTTCTTATTTTTTTGATCTTCACTCTGCCTGTGCTGTGTTTAGTGCCTTATCCTTTCTACCAATAGCTCAAAGCTTTTGAAATAGAACTGTTGCTTGATTAGCCAATTACATCGATGGAAAGCCTTTAATCATACCCTTAGAACATTTCATTTTTCGCCGTTAATTTATGATTGAAAAATAGATCTTATCATGTCTTGGCCTTAGGGATGGTCTTATTCTATGCAACTGCCCAGCAAGTGCTCTGACCGGTCTTGGCTGTGACTTGTAGGCATAATGCCAGGCAAGGTTATGCTTCAACTTCTGTGCCTGTTTGATTTTTGTGCTGAACTTGAGCATTGAAAATTCAAGCATCAGTTGGATGATGCTTTAGAACTATTTATTTTGTGATTACATCATACAAGTATGGGGTATTTATATGGATATTTTGGTTGTTTTGTACTAGCTTTGGTGCTTGATTGGTGTTATATATTATAATTTTAGTGTATTTATTTGTAGAGGCTGAGTCGGACTCGCATTGTCCTCTTCAGTCCATGTTTGGCCACCATGGTTTGTGCTTTGACCAGCCTGAGCCCTGGTACATGGTTGGCCCTATGTGGTGGTTTTCAGTGAGTCTGATATTAATTTCTGTTTCCGTAAATGACTCTGGCTTATTCTTGTTAAATGGCTATTTTCATTAAACATTTGAAACAAAAGTTTTGAACTTTATGATGTCAAACAGGTTCTGGCAAAGAAGTTTGGAGCAGCAGTGGTTTCTCTTGAGCATCGGTACTATGGGAAGAGTTCTCCCTTTAAATCTTTAAAAACAGAAAATCTGAAATATCTTTCATCAAAGCAGGCTCTATTTGATTTGGCTGTCTTCCGTCAATATTACCAGGCAAGTTCCCTTAACAACTTTACGTGTTCACAATGCAAATTAGTTTCCTAATAATGAGTCTGGCTCCCCTTCATTCTAAAAAGCAAGAAGAATGTGCTGTGCATCTTGTGAAGGAAGATTTCATGGAGTTGTGAAGCATTGCACTAAATAGCCTAAGAGTTATAAACTTAGTTGGGACCTAATTGTAGCACTCTGTTTTTTATATGATAGGTTTGCAATCACAATATTGTGGGATTGTTGATGAAAGGGAGGTGTTGAGCTGAAATATATGTTTTAACCAAACTCAAGTTTGTAATATATAAACAAATCAAGCTTGATGGTGCATTTTAAGATGAAGATTGGATTGAGTCTTTTTACTTTTTCGATAAGTGGATTGAGCTCATCTTAAATTGCCTGCTAAGCTTGAACACCCCAATACTTGGGACTCGGCTCATTTACAGCCCAAATTAAGTACCTCTTAGTCATCTTATTCTTATTCATTTCATTTCCCTCCCTCCAATACATTCTCTTGGATTCTGTTCCCCCCCCCCCCCCCCCCACCACCACCACCACACACACACACACACACATTTGGGAAGGACCATCCCCTCCCTTCCATATTTGGGAAGGAGAGCTTATACCATCTGGGCTAGAGCCCATTGATATTTCCTTAAGAATTCATGACACAAGTTGCTTATCAAACCACAGGCATATAAGACACCATGGGTAGGCTGGGCATCCTATATAATAAGTTGCCCAACTACAATTACTCTTTATATTGCGTGATCTATTAGGATATTACTCGAACACTGCATGCAGTTTCATGAGTACACTCATTCAGACATATTCTATGAGGTATTGGTCAAACTGATCTCTTTTTATTTTTGGTCTCTAACCACATTCAGGGACTTCATTTTATTACATCATTATGTATAATTTGCATAGTATTTATCTTAGTGGCTTCAAAACATGAAGTTAACATTAATTTTAGTTTTCCTCCTTTTGCATATTTTTTGTCTTCTATGGTTCTGTAGTTTTATACTAATTCTTATGCTGTTTCTATTATGTTCCCTTAAAATTATTTTGTAGGAATCCTTGAATGTGAAGCTAAATAGATCAAATGTTGAAAATCCCTGGTTCGTTTTTGGTGTTTCATATTCTGGAGCTCTTAGTGCATGGTTCCGTCTGAAATTCCCTCACTTGACGTGTGGAAGCCTTGCGAGCTCTGCAGTTGTTCAAGCTGTTTACAACTACACTGAATTTGACCAGCAGGTGAAGAAAGCGATATTATTATTATGATGTTGTTTTTAAATTTACAAAATGCGGCCATTGCAAAAAAAATTCACCTTATGCGCTGCTGTTATTTATGATCTTCCTGGTGCAGATTGGTGAGTCAGCTGGTCCAGAATGTAAATCTGTATTACAAGAAGTTAATCAACTTGTTGAACAAAAGCTTGAATCGAATGGGAAAGCATTGAAGACATTGTTTGGTGCAGCTGAGGTATGAATATTCTTTGCTTGCAAAGTTAATAACTAAACACCTATAAGTAGTCCAACTGCACGCTGGTGATATGTTCTGTTTAGTTTTGCATTTCTGCCTATTAGACAATGACAATACATACACTAGGAGCAGGGAAGGGAGGGAGAGAGGAAGGATAGAGCATGCTCCCATTATTTGGTAGAGGGGAGAACGAGAGGAATAAGAGGGGAAGCTGAAAGAGGCATCCCTCAGAACCACCTTTGTCCAAAATTGGACGAAAGGGAGGAGGAAGGGAAGGATACCTCTCATGTGAAATTCAAGGACGTTATTAGCCTAATTTAATAAATTCTTTCATATCATTTATCATATACGCATTACTTTATATGATGAGGGTATTCGGTAAATAATATTCAAAGCCTCCTCTCTTCCCTCCTACCAAACTGTAAAGGTGTCTTAATTTCCTTCCCTTCCACTCAACCAAACAAAAGGTGGAAGGACACCTAGAGATGTTTCCTACATCCTTCCTTTTATTCCATCCACTTTTGTCTCTCTTCTACCACTGGAGCATTAAGCTTCCAATATGTTGAGATTTCCTCTGATTTTCTAACCCCACAAAAAATATAAATAAATAAATAAATAAAATCGTTTAATGTTGAATAAAACTTAGAATGGTCTAGTAGTTTGCCAAGATTTTTATTTTGTGTAGTAATTGGATTTTGTGAGATATTATTATTGATTACCCATGAGGTGAAAAGTTGATATCATGTGCAAACATCCTCCATGTTTCAAAAACCTCCACAAGCTGTCAGAGGCAAATTGTTTAAAACCCTGAAAGAATGAAGAATACACCACAATCTGGAGATCAACTGGTCCTTCGTTATTTCTCTAGTCAGATCAGAACCAATACAGCTTAGATGTGTTGGGTTTTCTGTCAGCTCATAAATGATGAGTGGTTCATTATTATAGGAAAATAGGAGAGGCTTTTGGTGGTAAACAAGAGAGAAAACTGGTGAAATGATTACTAAAAATAATAATAAATCAGGCACTGCAGACTGTTGGTGGCTTGGTGCCCACTAGATTTCACCGGTGGCATAATTAATTGTTGATTTGATCATTTCAAGGGCCACTCAGCAAATTAAGATTGAGTTATACTGGTTATTTCATTGAGCTGGATAGGTATGTACCCTTTTGGGTCATGCCGAGTACACATTAGCTATTTTCACGATTTCACGATGGTTAGAAGCATACTTTTTATTTTGTCCGAGCACAACACAATGATAAGTAAAGGATATTTTTAGGACCGTGTTTCTGCAAAAGTCAACATATCCATGATATGGACTTAATCTATTGCAATGCAGGTATGGCATAGTTTTATTTTTTTAATCCCTGGTCAGATATGTAGTAAATGAATCAGTATACTTTCAAAATTTATGAATAGCCATGAATCAGTTGATAAATGGAAGTTACAATCAAATATTAATTGTACATTTGACATAAAAATGCATATGTGGGGCTGTCATCCTATTTGGTTCTAAGAATTGTATATACTTTTTATATTTTATTATTGTTTTGACATGCTAGAGGGTCCACTCTAAAAGCCTGCTGGGACTGGGAGGGGGTACTGTACTTGTATGATTAAAAAGAGGGAAGTTGTTTCCTGGATTTTGTAAGTCAATAATAGCCACAAAAGTCCCATTGCGCAATAAAAATTCTCTAACATGGAAAAAGTGTTTTCAGAACCATTGCTTGAGACTGCTTGACCAGGCTTACGCCATATGGTCGTCACTAGTAGGCATTGCATCTGTTCTGTGTGAGGAACGTGTTTCACACTTGTTGACTTGCGCATGGCTCTATTCTGTTATATGCAGCTTAAGATTGATGGTGATTTCATGTATTTTCTGGCAGATGCTGCAGCTATAGCAGTAAGTGTGCTTGCCATTTCATTTTTTTCACTTGTTATCTACCCTTTTGAGTTTTTTTTTTGGGTAAATATCCTTTTAAGTTAGCAGTCAGTATGTTCTCAAATTTGCAGTTCCAATATGGAAATCCAGATATACTATGCTCGCCTCTTGTTCAGGCAAAGAAGGCTGGGGAGGATTTGGTGGTATGTCCTTTCTCTTTGTCATCCATTTAATTGTTCGCATTAGAGCAGTACTTAGAGATTACGGATGTTCTTGTTCCAAAAAAAATGGTCACATCTGTTAGTTTAATTGTGAACAGACTAATTCTGGTTGTGGTTTTTGGAATTTGATATGATTTGGTTAATCTCTACCAGCCTAGGTGAAATATGGGAATGCCAACTAATATTGTTACCCAAACAAGTAAAACAGCCATTTCTATGTCTTTGATGAATAATAAGATCTGTTGAAGTCTTACCATCTTGGAATGTGCATGCCAAATGTATGATGCACGTCAACAGTCCTTGATTTGTATAATGTTGAAATAAATAGATAGGAGTTCAGCTTCATGAAATTTGAGACTGAGATCACCACATAATCCTAAGATACAAAAGCAGAAAACAATAAATTTATTAACTATTTTTATATCTACTGCATGTTGTGAGGTGTGAACTATCCACGTCCTGAAAAATGTTCCCTTTTTTTTTTTTAACTTCAAATCTGTTTCTCTTTTGGCATAAGATAGCAAAAAGGGATTTATTCAAATTATTAAACTCTTGAACACCATGTCAATAAAAATACAATTGCTTTTGGTATAACAAATTGTTAATTGCATTTAGAATTCCAACAATAAATTGTTTGCTTGGGCATAGCACATATTCTCTTTCATATTTGCACATAATACAACTGAATGGGTTTGCTGGAGCAAAATTATTAAGTCAACCTTGAAATGTGGGTACTACTTGCAATTTAAATTTAATTTAAAAAATCCTTTGTTCCTTGAAAGATATTTGGCTGTTCAGCTGATCTTTGTTGCATCCTTTCCCAAACTTTGAAACGTGTTCTTAAGAGTGCTATTCATTACTGAAACATTTCAAATCTCCAAGAAGCTTCTCTGTGACAGAAACAAAATATAATTGAATTTATCTTGCTTAGTAATGGTTTTGGGGGGTACTTTTATAGTTTCTTATGTAGTTCATTTTCAGTGCATACAATCAGAACCAAAAAAGTGTCAAAACGGCTTATCAATTTTGATGATGTAAGGACCGGACCCTAGTCTCTAATAGAGAGTAGCGCAAGGTCCGTGATTTAGACTTAGAAGGAGTGAATCAGTCTTGTTAGCCGTCTTACTAATTTTAACTACTTTTTTAATTTTATCTTGTTACCAAATAACAGAAAATTTTAGGGCCTGTTTGGCTAGTGCTTTTGCTTTGTGTTTTTCGCTTTTGCTAGTGTACTGTAGCGAAGCAAAAGCACAAAGCATCTTTGGTAATATTTGCTGTGCTTTTGAATAGTACCGAAGCGCTTCCAAAATTGAGGCCAAAATTGGAAGCATCAAAATGATGCTTTTGTTTGCTTCTGCACTGTAGCAAAGCACTGTTCAAAAAAAAAATTCTAAAATAACATTTTTAACTAACCATTCAAATTTTCAAACTTGCAACACTTTTTACCAAACATGCTTTCATGTTTTTGCTTATAAAAATCTTGTAACAAATTTATGTTACCAAACAAGCTTCTGAATAGTGTTGAACACACTCTAAAAGCATAAACATTGCTTTTGCTTCGGGTCAAAGCAAAAGCACAAAGCAACTTTGGTTGCCAAACGGGCCCTTAACTAACGCAAAATATATTTTATCAACCAATCATCATGCTCAACACGGAACGAAAAGCAATTTAAATTAAGTAATGTAACCACAATGAACCCCAAGATTTGTATGTGAAAACTCCAATGAGAAAATCATGTGTCACAGCAGAATCCATTATATGAAAGAGTTATTACACTAGGTAAACAGTTCAATAATCTCAGAAACTCCTACTTACCTCTTGACACAGACTGATCCACCAAACTCACACTATGAGTCTCCAGGCACACAATCTGCTCAGTCAACTGACCTAGCTCTTCACGAATGCACTTCTCCAATAGCAATCTGATGTCCAAACTAGTTGTCCACTACAATCTAGGTTGATTGGTTTGTGTGGTGTTTGAACTCTTCAATTAGCTCTATAGAAATCCAAATGTCAACACTCATATTTCTCACTCGCCAATCTATGTGAAATTGGTATTAGCTCGATCAAGAGGTTCTACATTTTGGTCATTCTAGGTATGGTCTTTGCATGGACTATTTCATTATGAACTGTTCAGTTTGATATTTTGGTTGGACTTGTACGTGGGTGATTACTATATGGACCGTCCACTTTAGTGATTAGCTTGCCATGTGTGTAAATATATGATTTGATATTGATGCTGATGGAGGCAGAGTGCGATTTTTGCTCTATCATAATTTCTATACTTATGCTGTATAATTAAGTCATAAGCTCCTCTGTTGCTTCTATGGCTAAACTATCAACATACATCCTAGCACCATGTCAAATTGCAATTGTAGTGTATAACACAATATTCTCATTACTTCCCAAATCCGGCAATAAGTTTTGAAAAAGGAAATGTTTACTTCTTTATTTGGTTTGAAGTAATATTTTATGAAACTTGGATTCCAATTTTTTTTTTTTTAATAAATCTAAAGCAAATTATCATAAAGTTTCATTTGTATTTGGTTTCTATAGAGTTGTAGTAGTTTGTTTGATGACAGAACTTCAATGCTTCAATGCACGACAGATAGTGACTGTACAGGTTTTTGGGCAAATAAGCTTCAGTGAAGCAATCAAGACTTTTTGTCATTTTCTTATTAACATGATTTTGATTTCCACATAATTCTCTCGGCAGGATGCATATGCCAAATATGTAAAAGAGTACTACACTGGGAGTTTTGGTGTTGATGTCCAAACATATAATCAGCAAAATTTGAAGCACACTGACAGTGGTGATCGGTTGTGGTGGTTCCAAGTGTGTACTGAAGTTGCATATTTCCAGGTGGCACCCTCAAATGATAGCGTTCGCTCTTCAAAGGTTGACACAAGGCATGTCCTACTAACCCCACAGTGGTTCTTATGCCCTTCAATATCATCTTGCTACTTATATGACTTTTATTATTACTTTATGGATCACTAAAATGTCAAGGTATATCGGCTTGTTAACTTTAATGTTTTGCTTTTTGTACTCCATTTTTGTCTAATAATATAGTGGTTGTTTAAATGTGGCAGCTATCATTTGGACCTTTGCAGAAATGTGTTTGGAGAGGGCATCTATCCTGATGTTGTTGCAACAAATATATACTATGGGGGCACAAAAATTGCTGGTCCAAACTTCAACCTTTTAGATTTTCTGGCTTTATATATTTCTGCTTTTGTATATTTTACATTCAAGTATTGTGTCCATGTATAGTTTTCTTGCCTTAGGTGTGTTCCTTTTAATATAGAATCATCTCTGACTATCATATATGCTAGTAGTTCATATATATTGACGGGTGAAGGTGTGATTATCTTCTTGCATGATGCCGCATCAAATGTATTGGCTTTGATCATGTTTTATTACTAAATTTTAACATTTATATTTGTTGATTGAGTTGAGACTCAGTAACATCTTGAGTTAAATTTGATGGGTATTTAAAGTTTGTTGCTTAAACATTAGCAAATTGGATGGAATGTTTTACAGTGATTGTGTTGGATGCTTGGAAATTTTCCTACACGGAATAAACTATGATCGATATAATTGAATATGGATGTTCTGAATTATACTTTCCCTATAAAAATAACGTCTTTTGGAATTAGAATCTCTTCCCTATAATGAATCTTAGTTTTTTTGTTTTTTTAGGCAAAAGTCATCATAAACCTCCCTGAGTTGAGAAACTCAATTCCGAAATGATTATTTCTTTAACAGTGAAATGAAATCAGGTGGTTTAATATACATATTTGTTTGAAGAGGTTTTTCCTTGGCAAAATTCCAGTTTTCTTCAAAGTGATTCCTGTACTGTGTTTATAATTTTTAAGTTCACGGATCCCTCTTCCTTCTTCATTTCATCTCATATACCCGCTTCCGATTCTATTACCTATATTAGATTGCATCTGTTTAGTTTACTAAATCTATGTACGTTAGCAGTACTTCATTATTCAATTTTTCTTTAGTAAATCTACATGTGCTTCCCATCCATGCTTTTGTAAATTTGTCCCACAGAAAAAGTGGAAACTGGAAAGAAACGGGATTGGAATTGTTTTCCTAGATTGAGAGTTGGATAAATTTATGCTAGTTAAAAATTTAAAATGCTGTTGATTTCTGCATGTTACTCCATAATGTAATCGCCATAAACATATTTAACTACAGCTTTTGTGTTCTAATGGAAATGTCAATTGGCAGGTTCAAAAATAGTTTTCACAAATGGCTCGCAGGATCCCTGGCGGCATGCATCGAAACAGACCTCATCCCCAGATAGTGAGTTTCCCGCTACTTTAATGAGAAATTTCATCCTGCCTCTAAAATAAGCTAAGATGTAGAGTATTTAATATCTGGTAATGAAAAGCACCTCAAATATCAACTGTACATTCATCCCAGGCCTTATATGGGGCCCACGTTGTAGTGATTTGGACTTTCTGTTTGATGAACCACCTCTTTATATTAGACCCTAAAACTTCTTGGGAGTTATCCATCTAAACTTTGTGTCATGGACTAACGAAGACATCTTATATTCTGATGATTAGATTTTGCATGAAATGGTGTATGATAGGGATTTTGCTGCATTGTGTTCTTAAGAACCACACCCATGACATAATAAACCTCAAGCATCTTCATGTGGTTCCTGCTTAAAAAATTTAATGTTTGATTATAATCTTGCATCAGTATACGTTGACTTGGGTATTCAAATTCTTTGTCAAAAAGTTATTTAGTAGAATAGTATTTGATTTCGTTGGATTTATTCTCTACTGAAACTCTGTTCTGCAGTGCCTTCCTACCTCATCTCTTGCCATAATTGTGGCCATGGAACTGATATGCGAGGATGTCCCCAATCTCCTTTAAGTCCTGAAGGTATGTATAGCTTGAATCTATTTATTTTTAGATTCTTTACGAGGTACAGAACCAAAAGATTGGCATAGGATTTTCAATCATGACTCCATGGTCCCTCCATTTTTATATTTTATTGGTATGGTCATGTATGGTATATGGTTGGAACCACTTGTGAGGAATATTGACTTTCTAACAGAAAGTTTTAATGGCCTGAGTGGGTCACACACACACACTCAAACTTTTCACGCCGTTTGTCCAACAAAGAGGCGAAGTATGATAGCTTTCTTTCCATTTCAAACAAAACACTTAGCAATGCCACCCACCCTCCGAACATGAACGAGTGGATTATCATTAACTACTCGCTGCTATGGGTCTTTATTATTATCATCTATGAAACCATACTGCCTTTAGGTTATCCATGACATACAAAGGTAGGATTGTTCAGGAAAAAGTCATTATTTAATATTAAATGATTGTATAAAGAAAGCTTCATCGTTGGTTAATTTCCTATTTACTGGATTTCCCTCCTTCCCCCCGCCAACTCAAAAAAATATTAAAAAGAAGGAAATAAAATTCCTCCCCCGGCCAACCCCAAAAAAAAAGGAGAGGAGGAAAGAAAATAGAACCCTAGGAAACGAATAAAAATAAGAAGTCTGACGTGAAAACATAATGCCAGCTTTGGTTGTTACTCTCTCCTCAACATCTAGGCTCCATTTGGTTCACAAATTTATAGTGGGGAAAAAGAAAGGATAACACAGTGGAAATCCTTTTTTCTTGATTGGTTATGTCATGGAAAACAGGAAGGAAGATTGAGAAAAATATTTTAAGTATCATTTTCCCTTTCCCTTCTACTTTTTCTGACATTTTGGAGAAATTTTTTATCTCATTTAAGTATGAGAGAGAGCATTTTTCTTTTTCTTTTTTTCTTTTCCCTTTGCTAAATCCTTGGACCAAATAGAGCCCTAAAGATGGACCACCCTTCCAAATCCTCCGATAAGGCTGCTGGTATATGCTTGTCAAGGTAATCACTTTGACAATGATCCCCAAGAAAATTATGTAGTAACTTGGTTTGATATGAGGCATGGACATTCCATGGTTAGCCCTTATGACTTTGAAGCTGCTAAAATATTAAGAAGATCCCTCCAGGTATCCGATCTAACCACACATTTTAATTTCTAACATAAGGTTTCCTTCTCCGTCACAACATCCCAACAAACTATCCATGGAAGGGCCATTCTTCTTGCTGATAAACCTCTTGCTGCGAATGATTTGTTTTTGTATTTATGAAATTTTGATTCTTTTATTCAGGTGATGCCCGGAATTGCAGCTCTCCCGACGCAGTTCACAAAGTAAGGCTGCAGGTCATTGAACAAATAGACTTGTGGCTGTCTCAGTGCCAAGCCACCGGTAGAAAAAGTATGTAATACAGTTATCGCAGAGGCATCTAAATATGAAAATTGTTGCCTAACTAACCTTAATCTTATGTTATGCATCACCTTCTCAACACGAAGATATTCCCTTTATGACTCTTGTGTTGTGTATTAGACCTATACAAATGGCGAATAAAATGTAATATTTATTGTATGTCTTTGTATTTACCTTTGTCTTTTCGAATGTTGTGTTTGTTGTGTAGATATGAAAGACCTTATGTCCAACTACTCTCAAATTTCAATCTTCATATATTTGTGACAAAGCTGAATATAGATTATGCTTAACGACTCATGGAAAGCAGCTTATATATGAGATTATTATCATGAAGCATTTCAAGATGGGAAATCAAATTAAACAAGGGTTTTCGTTTCTCGAAAACTCGAGCTTTGAAGTGTTGCACCGGCTTTGGAGATCTGGATGTTGAGAAATGATACACCGTCGGAACAAAGTGGAACGAATAGCTTTGGTGAGTCTTTTGCTCAGCCTTCTCCTAGAGGACATTGCAACTTCTCAGCAGCATCTCTAGCTTCTTTTTCTCTTATATGACACTCAATTGCATCCTACTTGTTGAATCAACAAAAATATTACATGAAGCAAAGTAAAAACAAAAAACAAAAAAATAAGAAACACTTACTACAGAGCAATCAATGTTGTGCATCACAATCTCACCAGCTACTTGTCAGATTCTTGCTTTTGCCAAATTCTCTTGTAAAGAGGCATTTCTCGTGCTCAACTCTGCAATAATTGCATTTAATTCCTCCTCCTCTTTGTTTTTAATTGCCAGCTCTGATAGTATACAAAAACAAATTAAATAAGAGACTGTCTTTTATTCAAAATCCAAGGCGCGCACTCACTCAAGGTGCAAAAATTACCAGTTTCTGTGCGTTTTCTATCCCAATATTCCAAACTATTCTGTAGCTTTTCTTGTTCTTGGGAAAAGTGCAAAAAACACCCCTAAAGTATTATTTGGGTAACACTTTTACACCTATTTGAAAAATTGTATAAAAAAACATCTCTAATCTTTTCACATTGTGCAAAAAATACCCCTCAATCAGAAATCTGACATAAATTAGTAATGTAATATCCGTTTTGCCCTTTTACTCTTCTGACAATGTTCAATGGGGTATATATGCTACTAATATCATAATATAGGGCTGTTATGTGCATATTACCTTATATATATATATATATATATATATATATATATATATATATTTTTTTTTTTTTGAACTTTTTTGAAACTTTGAGAATTTGTAAAGGAAGGGTTTGAATTTTTTGAGATTTCAGTTTACTATTTTCTACTAATTTTTTTCCTTCTTTATTTTATTTTTTTTTTCGTACCAACACAATTAAACAAAAAAACAAAAAAAATCCTAATAATAGTGTGCATTGGGTTTAGGAGTTTAGAGCAAATTTGTTTTCTTTAGTTTACACTTTATTTTGGTTTTTTATTTTTTATTTTTATCTTTACTTTTCTTTTATACTTTTATTTTTATTTTATATTTTTATCTTTACTTATCCATTGCCGGCGCTCCTCAATAGCGTTAACTCTCTCACAAGTGAAAAGATTATTAGGCTTGTGAGAGAGTTGGTACAAGCCTATTAACATATGATCATCAATTTTTTGGCTCAATTAATTACACTTGTTTTATAAAATAAAATAAAAAAAATGATTGCTGGTGTGCCATTTACTGAAGTAACCATTTAGTTTTTTTCATGATCTCCCTCTCTCGTGCGTGTGTACTATATGTGTGTGTGTATATATATATATTAATAGGAAAGTTTTTACATTTGCAGGTTTATATTGGTATGAATTAGGAGATATGGTTAAAGTTATGTGCAAATAAAATTATATACATATATATAGGATGAATTTTCACTTACTGAAAAAATATATATATTTAATTGTATATTTCTAAATTAATATTTGCAGGTTTGAACTGATATGGATTAGGAGAGTCAAAAAAAAATTACACAAATTTATATTATATATATATATATATATATATATATATATATATATATATATACACGGTCCCGTTAGTTGTTTCTGATTTTTTAAGACTCCACAACTACTCGATTTGAGTGTTTTAACTAAAATTAAACACCTTATAATAAGGAGGTATTAATAATGAAAAAATTAAACAAATAATTTCACTAAAATCATTTGGATATAGAAGAGTGATCGAGAGTAGTGGAGTCTTTCTATTACGAAAAAAAAAAAAAAAAACCCTTAACAATTGGATAAACAAATTGATTACACGAGAATACTGTAATGACCCGGTAATTTTCCTTCATTTCATTTTCTCAGATTTTTACGGATATTTTTTTCCGTTGATCTTTTCTTTTCTGAATTCGGTTTCTCATCACTTAGTGTCATCTCAAGTGCTCAGGAATGGTTTCCAAGACTCTTTCTTTTAGATTGACGACTTCCTTTAAGGACCGAGTCATTTTCACTTTTATGATACTATTCACTTTTCGTCTTATTCCCATTTATCACTTTGTTGGCACAACCTCACTTTTCGTGTTCGGATTTGATTCTGATTTTGCATGCATTCACGATATTTAAATTCCATGCTATGTGTATTTTTACTTTTGTAGAAAAGCATGCTAGTGGCATACTTTTACGTAACGGGCATGAATGCATAGTTTCTTCGGAAACATTCTTGATTTTTGTGGTTTTAGTGTAATTATGTAAAGTAATTACTTTTCGTCTTAGGAACCATTTTGTAATTTAATTTGGAAGATATTTTCAAAAAGGACCTTTTTGTAATTTTTGAAAAGTGTGACAAGTGTCATACTCTCATAGAGCCACTTGTTGGCATTGAGGTGGAGATACTTGGAAGCATGATCTTGTGATATTTTGAGGGTGGAGATTCATCCACTTGTTGGCCTGGGGTTGGTGCATTTTTTGGCTTTGATGGTTGACAAGTGTAGGCTTGAGATTAAGCCTAGGAAGGATTCTTGGATTTGTGACAAGTGTAGGCTCACAATTTAGTCTTGCATTGTGTGTGTGTGAGAGGTAATGTAAGAGCACATAGTGAGTGGAGGAATACTAGATCCTCCACTCACCATTTCCACTTTATCTTTCTCAATTCCTTTGTTCTTCAAAACCCTAACCTAGCCACCATTGAAGCAAAGCTTGGCTTAGAGCTTTAAGCTTCATTTTGACCTCCTTCCACTTACCTTAGACCATAAAACTTGGAATACAAAAACTTTGTCTCACCTTCCTCTTCATAACCCTAGAAGGATTTACCATTTTGAGCTTGCTTACCTTAGATTCAAGAGGAACAATCCTCTTGTGAGGTAGGGTGTGTTATAGTTTATTATATAAGGGTTTTACTTGTTTTTGCATGAAATATAAGTTGTATGCATGTTTTTTGTTAATTTGATAAATTAATGATTTATCATAACTTGCATATAACTCACTTTAAACTTGGTATATGGCATGTCCATGACTTGATCTTTGTTATCTATTAATTTATGATGATTTAAATGAGTTTTTAAATCTAGAGATTTAATGAATTTAATTTGATTTAAATTCTACTTAACTGTATTTTGCTTGTATTCCATTTTAGACTTGATATATGGTATGACCATGACTTAGTCCTTGTTATATATTAATTTGGAATCATTTGAATAATTTTTGAAATCTAGAGATTTAATTAATTTAAATTAATTAAATTCTACATGATGATATCTTGCTCATCTTACACTTTTGATTTGATATATGTGATAACTATGCTATATCCTTTAATATATATTAATTTGAGATTATTTGGAGTTGATTTAAAATCTAGAGAATTTAATCATTTTTATTTAATTAAATTCTATCTAATTGTTCCATGTATTTAATTATGTTTTAGAAGTTGTTCTATGTATAAATCATGGATTTAGACTTGTTGTGTTTTCACTTGATTATGTTTTAAGCATTGAATAACATGGTTGTTATGTTTATATTCATGAGAATATATTTCTAGTATTGAATGTATTATTGACTTGTGAATTATAGATATTATTAGCCTTATAAACTTGTTGCTACAATGTCATAGAATTAGTGTTTAAAGTTTACCATGGAGGCTTGATTTAAATTGTTAGGTAGATGATATTGTATTGTACATTGTCTCATAGTAAAGACTTGACATTATATATGCCATTCTAGAATTGAAACTTTAAGGCATGGATTGTGTGGTTTCAACCTACTTGTGCATGGAAGGTGGTTTCGTGCATCATTTAATTGTGTACAAGTTGTGAACCTACTTGTTGATTTTGGATTATCTTGGGACATTGTTACAAATGACATGGCTAAAGTTTGGCTCTAGTACGGGAGATAGAGAGCTCCCTGTATTATAGTGCGCACGGGGTAGTATTCCCAACGGGTTAGTACCCGGAATAACCGTTTAGGCCTTGGTTTACTCTGAGATTTGATGTCCAAGTCTTCCACTACTTGATTTCGCATTCAGTTCCAAGTTGACAATCATGTTTAATTGTGAGTTGTGGTTATTAGCGATTTAATGTTGTTAAGTACATTTATGCATTGTGATTTTTAATGAATCATTGCAATTTTGATGTTGTTAGGTATATTTATGCTAAAATGTTCAAATGTAGCTTAAGAATGATTCTATAGATTCATTTGGAACATAGACGCTAGGTAGCATGACCCTCTTTAGTTGTTTTCATACTTTAGATTTCAAGTTGATAACTTTGAGAATCTATGTCTTGATGCATTGTATTAGAAATTTAAATTATGCCAAATGGTTATATTTAGTTATTTTTGCACTTTAGATTTCAAGTTGATAACTTTGAGAATTTATGTCTTGATGCATTGTATTAGAAATTCAAATTATGCTAAATAGTTATATTTAGTTGTTTTTGCACTTTAGATTTCAAGTTGATGGTTTTGAGAATCTATATCTTGTTGCCTTATATAACATGCTTCTATGTTATTTAAATTGCATGAATGGTGTGATTTATGCTAGAAATGATCTAACTTAGCTTAGGATGCTCCATGAGCCTCACTTTTGATATAAACGCGACCATATGTATTGATTTATATCAATTTAATGAACAGTAAAATGTTAGGTCTATGCATGATCATCTCCTACGAGTAGCTTTATGTTACTCACCCCAAAGTTACCGGGGCATTTTTCAGG